TAAACAAAAAGTCAATAATTTGCATTTGATTAGGTGCATAATAAGTTACAGTTCCTGGGATCTAAACTTCATGAGTCAACACTTTTTTAGGCCTTAATCTTTTCTTCTTGAAAACTACATATGGAACAACATGAACTTCAATAACCAGGACCCCCCAAAAATGTTCATTTAAACGCAATTTTAGTATACTTTGATGAAGTCAGAATCACCCTTGCTTGTTTCAAAAACCAATCCTCTGCGTGAGTTCTATCTGCTGCCCGTCCTTCTGTGTTTTCAGAGTTATCTGTGCCCAAAACGAGTTATTGCTCTGCATCGGCTTGGCTCATTTTAAGTGCTCCAAGTTGTAAACAATACAAAAATGCATCTTTTCCTCATCAATGTTTTCTACACTAGCACCGGCTCCAAGGGAGATACAGTCCTCTGAGATTGGATTTTATTGAAAATCGTGGTGTTCAAAGCGTACTAGGATGTTTGAAATCCTTCATAGAAACTTCATACAGCCCGAAGGCATTCTGTAGAGTGAAAGATTGTAAATGGAGGAGTGACTGCCTCACCCAGCAGGGACCACTTCTAATTCTGGGCTGTGTGTAGGGACCTGAATGCTGCAGGGATCACTCAGAGGTTAATAATGATAATCGTCGTTTGCCTTAAAGAAGGATCAAATCAGATCCAATGTAATTGACGTTGGAGAACTCGAGGGATGGTGTTTGGTTGAGGAATAGTCACACCTTCAGGGTCGTTCTACACATCCCAGTCCTTCTGGTATCAAGTGGGTTAGAGCCAGGAGAGGCAGAGACTCCAACAGAGCATGGAAACGCAGGACACCCTGATGCACTCGTGTTTTTGTTCTTGCTGTCCCTGTGTGAACCCAGAGCTGCAGCCTTTGTCACAAGGAAGATGCTCTATGCCATGTTTCAGATCTGCCCAGCAGGGCAGCTCACTCACAGCGCGTGTCTCCCAGCACATACTTCATTTTCCTGTGATGCCAGCAACTGAGTGGCCGGCGTGCCCTGACCCTGCTCACTGTCTCTTTGCTCCCACAGAATCTGTACCAGAACAGGTTTTTAGGCCTGGCCGCCATGGCGTCTCCTTCTAGAAACTCCCAGAGCCGACGCCGGTGCAAGGAGCCTCTCCGATACAGCTACAATCCGGACCAGTTCCACAACATGGACCTCAGGGGCGGCCCCCATGATGGCGTCACCATTCCCCGCTCCACCAGCGACACCGACCTGGTCACCTCGGACAGCCGCTCCACGCTCATGGTCAGCAGCTCCTACTACTCCATCGGGCACTCTCAGGACCTGGTCATCCACTGGGACATAAAGGAGGAAGTGGACGCTGGGGACTGGATTGGCATGTACCTCATTGGTGAGTAGAATGTGCCAAGTGTATTATTCATAATTCACTTTTACGTATGCTGTCACATTTTAATAAACCTACAATATAATTAAAATATACAAGCAACTGTGTTATATGCCAGATTCTAACACACTGAAGACCACTATTGCATGACCTTGTTTTTCTGCAAAATGGATAAGAAGTCCTCTCTTGCCATCTCTATTCCATGAAAGAAAATCATGAGATATAGCAGAGTGAGGTGTGGTTAAACACAAACATCATTATCATTTGCAACTATAGAAGCTCTTCTACTTATGAATAAGTTAATATCAAAGCCTGTTTTTAAATCTATGTGCTTATAAGACAAAGTAACACCATATGCGCAACCAATGTAAGCACACCTACATGGAGGTCATTTCACTTCAGTTTCCAGCATAATCTTCACCAGCCCTTCCAACATTCTTACTGCTTTGTATTCAACAGACAAGCTGGGATTATACATACAGGCATACAGGCATGGTGCTGGAGAAAGCTGACTTGCCTTACTTTAGGTGGAGATTTATTAAAAATTTTGAAAGTGCCAAAGTTGAAAGTTCACCAGAAGAAATTGTTCTATGTGAATTTTCTGAAGTCTTTGCAAACAAAACAAGTTATGCAAATAAGTTGGATGCTGAGGCAATTATTTTTATGCAAGTTTCACCATTCCCATGGATTGGTTTTGAAAATCTTGTAATTATGAAAACCAATTTAAATGAAAAATGTATTTCATCTATTTTATATGATAGAATCAGCTGTCATGGAAATTGATGTGTTTACCCAAAAGTCAAGTTATAATTGCTGGAAGGCCACAAGAGTCAACAGATTCAACACCAGGTCCATCCGAGGCCAGGCCTTCTGCCTTCAGGCTGTGCTCTGCAACATTTGCACATTCAGACACACAACACCGGATTTAACATCACAGAAAGTAATGGATTATTATGAGTAGTTTACAACCTGGACAGTTTTTCTGATAAAATAAAGGGGATCTTATCTGACTAACTAGTTCTCAGGGAAATATTCTTGGGTCTCTTAAAGGTTTTTCCATTAGCTTGGTTAGTGTGTTTATAATATGCACATTAATGTAAAGATGGAGATGCATACATTGTTGAAATTTTTACACAAATAGCTGTGACTAGCTAAACTAGATTTCCAAAAGTTAAAATTCAATTTGTTTCTGAAAAACAAAAATTGTTCTTGAATAAAAGTAGATACTATCCGTCAAGAACAGAGATTGCAAAATAACAGCCCAACGAGCA